TAAATCCAGAGCAAACTTTGGATAGACTGAAAACATAAACTTTTGGTAAGCAAGGTTTCCCTTTGCAGCACCTAAGATGCAGTCCTGTCTGTCAGTAATTCTGTTGTCAATTAAGGCCATTTTTATGGGAGAATTTATTCCTGCTTGGAATTGGGATTTTAGCAAAATTTTTACAGCTCCGATATGGACCATTCTAATTTTTGATCTAATCTCAACTGGAATACTTTTTAAGTTATTGTTTATTTGTTCCTTAGTTAAAAGGGGTAGAAAGACAGCTCCTATTGTATCTTTTATGTCTACTGACATTTCTTTAGTACTAACAAAGTAGAAGATTTCATTTTTCCTTTTAAGAGGATTTAAAATACTAAGTTTAGAAGGAACATTTTTGAAAATGTTTTCTTTCTTTATTTTTAAATCTATTTTCTTAACTCGAGAGAGAAGGTCTTGTTTTATTAAAAGATTTGCATGAAAGCCATCTTCATCTTCAACATAAGTTAAAATTAGTTTCAGAACTCAGAAAATTTATTTTAACCCAACACAATATCCTACAACTCGGGAGAGGGATGCCGTAACCCAAATTGCAGAACATTTGAAGGTAAGTGAATGACGATTCACTAATTTCCACCATGAAAAACGAAAAAGAAATTTAAGTTTTAAATCTATGAAAACTCCTAGATCCTTTGAGATTCATTGAACATTTCAATGGCATGTTTAAATCTCGATATGCCCCTCTAGTTTGTGACTGGGATGCCGAGGATCACAAAGCAGGTGTGAATAACCATGCAAACTACATGGTGCCCTCACATGTTACAATCACCTATTCGATGTGCCGGTAAACCACACACGCTCCACCGAACTATGACAAACATTGAGTCACCCTTTGCTACCTTTGCTTAGAACCATTTAGTGTGCCGGTAAACCACACACGCTCCACTAACGTCTTCGCAAGGGCACAAAGTGTAATTTCAGGGAATTGCATCAATTCACTTTTGCCTAAGTAACTAAGATTGGGAATTTGAAAAACATTTAGTTACTTTGTATTTCATTATACTTATAATGGAAGGTTTCGTCCTATCCTACCCGTTCGGCTAACGACCCTCCACTAGTCAAGAGTGCGGTGGGTAAGAGTGGATACCCATTCAATCGCCATTTTATAGGCAATTTCCTTAAACACCCCTTATAGACCAGCTTCGTGAATGAGGCCTACTAACGGTAAGACTGACTTTTACTCATACATATATATAATGTTAGACTTTAATGTTATATATAGTATAGGGTGTATTTTACACTTTTAAAATACTATATGGTTAACTTTAACAATTACACTTTTAATTCAATTAAATGTTAACCTAAACTTTTATGGATTTATTAAACCTCTTTTAATTATACTCCTTAATTAATTAATAAAACCATAAGGGTGTGATTTGAACTTTTCAAAACATTACTAGGGTTTTAGAATTTAACATTCTAATTAAACTTTTAATCAACTTTTAAATTCCAAAACTTGAGGGCAAGTTTTGAAACCTTTTTCAAAACATTAGGGTTTTAACTATTTAAATTTCAAAACTTCAAAACTTTTGGGTTCAAATTTAAACTATAAAACCTAAAGGGGAAAATATGAAACTTTCATAACAACAAGGATCAAATAACAAATAATCTAAATTAACATTTATTACATAATTATCCATATTTGATTTGTTTAATGATTTCTTGCAAAACAATTTATCAATTTACTCAAAATAATTAATCAATTATCTTATAAGGAAACAATTATCTTGTTAATTGATAAATATCTTTAATTAGATCAAGAATATAGTCATATATATCATAAAATCGGATTTATATTGATCTAACATGATAAGGTAACTATCCATATGCAAAAACAGCAAGAAATCCCGAGATAAGCATTATCTGACGCTCGAACTCGCCGAGTACCACACTGTACTCGCCGAGTTCAGGTCTACTCGCCGAGTTCCTCAGCCATAAAGCCCAAAAAACGATTTTCCAGTTATACAATGCATCAATACAATTGAAACCAAGCTAGGCTCTGATACCACTGATGGGTTTTGGTCATAAGACATCCTATGTGCTCATACAAACCCTAATGCTTGGATCTAGGTTTCTCTATTGTACATGCTTTGAATCCAAGACTATAAACCCTAATTCTAGCATACAAGTAATCATATTAATATGTAATTAGGTTTAAGATCATACCTTGATTGTTATGTAGTAATAACAATCCCAATTCCACCTTGGATTGACTTTGGAATGCTTAGAGTCACAAGTGTCACTCCTCTAATGGCTCACAAACACCATAAGCAAGAGGATGAAGAGGAGAGAGGTTGGAGGCTGCCAAAAACGTGTGTAAACCCTTACAAGAACCTTAGCCCCGTTTTTGAGCCTTAAGGGGTCTTTATATAGTTGGGCTATTAGGGTTATCTAACCAGGAAACCCTAATTTGGATGCTTAAGCCCTAAGCAACCCATAGACTCCTTTTATTAAGCCCATGGACGATTTCCTTATGGGTTTCCCATTAGAATTCGTCCATCCCATAATACAAGGCAATCCATGGCCCAAATTGCAATTATCTTATAATTACAATTCCAGTCCCTTAAGTTTAATCAATCTCTTTTAGTCACAAAACTAATTACCAATTAATTATTGACTAATATTAATTAAACAATATGATTTCTCCTTTAATATATTATTCCCATAATATATTAATAAATCATATTTAATCCTTTCTCTCCATAATTCATCCTATCAAGTTGCTTTGGTGAAGGCAACCCAAAAGGACCATGCACCATCGGGTCAAGTACATACCAAAATAGTTATGGACTTAGACACTAATCCAACAAGTGATTCGTTCAAGCATTGCACATTTATACCTAAACTAATACCTCTAATATATTATAAAATATTGAAGCAAACCTAGTGTATACTATATAGTATCACTTATCAATCTTCCAGCATGTATGAGTAAAATTAGGGCTTATTTGTCCTCCTTAGTGAATCCCATAACAAAAAAGAAAGATCTATATTAAAAAAAAAATTATATTGTAGTGAAAATGAATGTAAAGTGAAAATATAATGTATTCAGTAACTGGGATATGAGCATAATAATTGAGCTTTTTTTGAAGACCCAAAAATCAATCCTTCCACATTGCACCGGTACCTTCTTATAAGTATGTCAAAAAAATTGACCATATTCTCCCTCTAAGTTGTATGAAACATACTTATTATCTTCTTTACCAAGTGTCAATAAATATACAAACTTTGACGAAGAGTCTCACAAGAGCTAAGGTCCCTTTCACTCTTCATCATTACCAAATGTGCCTCGCCATCACTTGTTTATCCCACCATCAGTTAAACCATGTCAGAAAAAGAAAACAAATAGATAATGAGTTCACATACTAAGGTGTTGTTTGTTTTTTCTAAAAAAAAAACACTTCACACCACATATTGTTGCGCCGTGCAGCACAAGCGCAACACTTGGCCTTTCACAGCTGCTTGTTTTTCAGAAGACTTCTAACTTAAAAATTGTTGTGTGTGTGCTGCGTGGCGCAGCAGTAGACCAACTGCTTCAAACCTCTTCACACTTTACTTTAACTTACTGTAGCTGTCTGCAGACGTTAAAAAACAAACAAACTTTTTATTAAATGTTGCAGCCGTTTGGTCCACCTCTTTTGCTACAGAGGATTGCCGAGGTGGTCCGCAGACTTCAGGCATATTCGCTTCGAAAAAACAAACAACACCTAAAAGTACTAACTTTTCATTCTTAATTCTTGAACAAAAAAAAAATAATAAACATGGATTTGCTTTTAGCTAATAAATCTTGAAATTTTGACTGTTAATCCAAAACCAAAAAGCAAGATTATGAAAAATCACTCAGCATGAAATTTTTCTTGTTCTTTTGATGAAAGAAAAAAGGATCGCAGTTGGAGGTTGACGTAGTAGGATCTTCAAAGCAGAGGCGGAAGAGAAAACTGTGAAATAACCATAAAAACCTGTCAATAAAGAGTTTAAAGGATTGTGATTGGAAGTTGGGAGTGATTCAACCGCTAGGAGGTTAGAAGTCTGACATCGAATTCCTTCAAACTTACCTGCGATCAATGTAATCGAATCGGAAGAAAAGGAAAAGAAAAGAGCGAACCTGGTGCTTGACACAAAGAAGGAGGGTGCGATTTTGGTTGATTGTGGTTTGTCGATTGCACTTCAAACGGAAGAACATCGCTCGTTTTCTGGTCCATGATCGATGAAGCAATAGAAGCAATTGATGAACCGATTAACAAAATTACTTCAAAGAGTACTCTTATATAGGCCTCAATAGGCTGATTTGTAGGACTAAGGACAATAACTGTAAGAACGTGGGAGCAATCGAAGCAGAAGTTGCATAACTGCAAACGTGGGGAAGAAGAAGAAGGAACGTGCGAACGAAGACCGCACAACAACCATAAATATTGAGTTTAAGCGGCTGAGATTAAAACTTTCTAAGAGTTTTAACGACTGTGATACGGACGACGGTTTTCCACTCACCGTCGTCCAAAATATTAATAATCATCTCTAATAAATTAAGGTTTTTTTATCACTTGTCAAACTCTCATTTAATTTGTCAAATGTTATTTTATGGTTATTTTGAATTAACTTTTTTCCACATGTCATTTTATAAGTTTTTCTATTTTTTAAAATTCCATATAATATTTTAATGTAATAATTGCAATAAATATAATAATAAATTGATATCAATTTGATTAATGAACTTACCTTTCAATTTTAAAAATCTCAAAATTAAAGTTCATTAGTTTCTTTTATTTATTTAAATTTAAAAGATAAAAAAATATTTGCATTGTAATAAATAATTTTTTTTTCTTATTTTCTTATAAATTCAAAGTCTTTAAAATTTTTGACCTTTATACTTTTTGTTTTAAATTAACTCATGTAATTTATGAATCTCACAACTAGTGGATTATATAAGAAGAAAACAAAACTAATATATTAACTCTTTCTAACCGAACACTATAGTTTTTTTTTTTAATGCGTTAATATTTCTATTAGGAAGAAAAGGATTGTTTTGGTTATATGTGAGAGAATAGATACTCTATATACCTTTGCACAACCCGCAAAGACTTCACAAAATGGTAGCATTTCATAACCTAAATGCCGTTATTTCTCATTATTGATCAAACATCGGGATCCTAAAAGCCATACACATATGACTCTAACTAAATGTTGCCATTTGAAGGAGATGACATAACAGAAAGAATATCCATCACAGAAGACATGGCACTCAGAGCAGCTTTCAGAATATCCTGAGAACAACCAGGTTTCACAATGCTTCGTACCTTCATAAATATAATTAAAATCATTAAAAACAATACCATATTCTAATTTATAAAACATCATATAACAAATTCAAAAGTACCTTGTCAAGATATACATTCAGTTCCTTTATACGCCCCATATAATCCAGATCCTCAATACACAAGCTAACAGTCCTAGATTCAGCCCCTGGACCATCATATTGAAGAGGCCCAGGGTTTCTATACACATCATCCATTAAGAACTTTGTTGCGTTTTGTCTTAGCACCCTACACAATCACAATCACGACTTAAACCAATAACACATAAATGAATGTTTCTTTTTAACTTGATATACAGAAAGAACGACTTAATAGAGAAAGTCAGGAATCAGAATCATGATAAAGCCACATACTCGTATACTCTGCCTCTCAAGTCCACAATAGCAGGATGGACAACGGGTCTTCCAATAGTTATGGATCCCGATGCACTACCATAATCCTTCACAGCCATCATAGCCTACAAATTTCCAAAATATTCAAATACTCACAAATTTATCAATCATTATATACAAAAACAAAACCAAAAAAAAAAAAAAAAAAAAAAAAAAAAAAAAAAAAACCGTTATTGGAGCAGCACCACAACGCCACTTGCTCAAAGAATTCTTCAAGTTAGTTACTGTGGCCATATAACCATTCAAACCAGCTGCCAAAATATGGTAACAAATATGTCCAAGAACCTATGTTATATATATATATAGTGTCCCATGTTAGTTAACAAGCATATTTATCATAGAATATGTAATGTAAACAAAAAATGTATATATATATAAAAAGAAAACATACGTAAGCATAGTCACAGTCGAACTTTGAAGGTAGAGAACCCCGAGCTTGATATCCCAAAAAGTGGCAGATAGCTGTAAATTTCTTCCCTTTGTATGTTCCTTCTTTCTGTTAACATATTTCATGGATGATTAATTCTTTAATGATCATGATGAGAAAAAAAACTAAAAAGAATAATCATGGTTTGTATTGTACTAGTCTTTTGCTCATTTCTGCTTCTACAAGTACAGCAAGAAGCTTTTCTGTTTCAATCTGTGACAATTGTGCTGAGTCATCTGATTCTGGATAAAGAAGAAGCTCTTCTCTAATAAATGGTGGCAAAAAGTGAAATAATGCGGATGCCCAAGGTGACAATTGTGATGATATTTTATCAATGGAAACACCTTGTCGAAGAAATCGATGGATTTCCTGAAACAAAAATATGTAAATTGATATAAAAAAAGATGCACTTAATGAGTTAAGTGAGAGAAAAAAGAAAAAGAAACATCCCCTTAGTCACCTTTAACAACCCGTAAACTTCAGGGATGCTTTCTATAAGCCCTTCTGGAAGTAGAACAACACCATGGTATTTTTCTGTTAAAGAAAATATATTTTAAAAGATAAACTGAAGATAATAACTATAAATCTATAATTGAGATACACCCACAACAGACCTTTTTCTGCACGAGCTTGCACAGCATCACATATCTGTTTTGTTAAGTCAAAAATGGTAAGTTTTGAAGCAACAACTTCCTCACCAAGAATAACCTATAAAAAAAAAAAAGGTTAAAACTATGTAAATATATGTACATAAATTAATAAGAAATGAGGTGTAACAAACTAACAATTACCATGTTAGGATGTGATTGAAGAGTGCATTCCAAGGCAACATGTGAGGCCTTCTGACCCATGAGTCGAACAAAATAATAGTACTGATCAAGGAAGAAAAATCGTTTCTTGATTGCTTAATTTTTGCTAAAAAGTAAGAAAAGAAAATGTAACTTTGTTTTGAAATATGTGGATTATTACCTTCTCAGCAGAAAGAGCATCTGTGCATAGGTTGCTAATGAGTTGAGAGTCAACCTAGAATATATAATCAAGAAAGGTGACATGTGTATAATGATGCTATTGCTATATATCTTTAAAGTGAATTGTGGGATGAATATTGGTACCTTGCAAACTGTATCAAAACCAACATTAGCTTCCACAAACTGGTTCTTGAGATCTCCATTTAAAGTAACAGGTACTCCAACCACCTACAAAATTCAAATTTTTTTTAACAATAATAGCCTCACAATTTATGGCTTGTAACTTGTAAGGTGTTTAAACTTCTTGTTTATGTCTATGTGGGATATGTTATTGTAATCATGGTGTATGATAGCTTAGATACCTTTGTAGAGCATTTTGCTTGAGAAAAAGTCTCAGCGAGGTGGGCTGCATCGGTGTTTGATGTTACACCTTTGATTTGTAGAACAAAAAACAGGGATTAATAGATAATAAAACAAGAGATTGATGAAGAGATATAAGGAAGTTGATTCTTTTTAATCGATAAACTTGATCCTATATAAATATAAATATATAATGTACATGCATACCTCCGACAATGATCAAGCCATCTAACTTCAAAGCATTACATGCAGCCATGGCGGCGTTAACTTGCTCTGATGTTCTTATTTGATCTCTCGATCTTCCCAATAGATCATAACCACCTTGATTTTTGTAGGTTGCAAGAACATCGTCTGTGATTTCAAGGGTTTTTTGAGCAAATAAACCTTCCGAACCACCTAATCATATGCATGGAACAATTCTCTTGAATCTCTAATAATATTTACATCATCGAATGATATATGATAAGTAAAATCAAAAACGTTACCCAGAAATCCAAGCAAAGTACTTGAAGAGTTATGAATTTTGAGAGCTTCATGTAAACCCCAAACAACATTATGTCCTCCAGGAGATTGTCTACCACAGAAAACCACTCCGACCCTGAAACAACATTCATGTAAAACCCATTTTACCCCTCCGTGGAAGAGATTACAAAAAGGGAAACGGGAGAAAAGGAATTTATACTTGATTGCAGGGTGATCGTTGATAATCTGTGCATCCGGAACAATGGATGTAGGTTTAAGAAAATGAGCCAAAGGTTGACCATAAGTGTGAGGAAACGATTGACTAATAGCCTGAGCACCAGAAGGATCTGCTGCAGTAGTCGCATCACCAAATTCTACTCGCACAGTAGTTCCCTGTGAAAGAGCTCGTTAGATATGATCATCGAGTTCATGTTCTAGGTGAAGCTACCATTAAATCAATCGTAAGATGAACCAGGTAAAACTGTGAAGATCGATAAAATTTTATCATAAAAGCGAAATCAAGTTTGATCAACAACAAAGTCTGATGTGTTTTACACTTTTACTAAATGGTAAAAGTAACAATAGAAATAAGTGCATCAAACTGTCAATTAGTAAAACGATTCAAAAGCCAATTCAACCTGAAATCGAAACACATCAAATAGACAAATACCATTACATGATACATATATAAATGGAAATCATCAGAATAAGTGCAAAAAACAGTTTGGAACTTATGAAAGTGAAAGGGAAACCTGAAGGCAAGGAGGAAGCAATGGTTTGTAAAAAGATCGAGCCTTTTGAAGAGTTGAAAGGTCTCTGGGGATTCCATAATCTGATCCCATTTCTGCAAAAAGGGGTTGCTCTGTTTTTACGCAGTTGATTTTCTCTCTGTTTTTTCTTCACCAACGAACTGGGTTTTTGTAGGGGTTGTGGTTCAGGGTATCTGCCATTTTTGGACCCTCATCTTCTCAAATATGTCTCTGTGATCAACCTGGTGTCAACAAACAATGGGGATGCGCCGTTGAAATATGAAAACTAAAGAAAAGGCACTACATGCGTAGCTTTGTACGACGCCCCCTAATAATTCTTATAAAAAAGAAAGTATATAAAACAAAAAGAAATACGAAAGGAAACAAGAATATAGAAGGTCGTTTAACTTTAAATAAACTATTTTTAAATATTAGCTTTCAATGACGTTACATAAATCGTAGAAAAATGATTTATTCATATCTTAAGAAGGTGTACAAGTAATTCTAGTAAACTTTTTATTTTAAGTTGTGTTTTCTTTTTTCAAAAATAACTCTGATAATATGTATTATATTTTTATAATCTATTAAAAAATTCAATAATTTGAAATTCACATTGATTTATAACTTATAAGTAATGGGAGATGATTCTTCCATTTAAGATTTTAATTCGATAAATATAAAGATCGTTCTTCTATTTAAGATTTTTATTCATCAAATATAAAACGTACGCTTCATCTATTTGTATAATAACTATCATATTTTTTTTTTGTTTATAATATAAAAAACGGTATGTTTTTAAATGATTTATTAATAATAATATACAATAGTTTAGGAAGTTTTTTTTCAGAAAAGTTTTAATATATTGGTTATTTGCTAAAAATAATATAATCTTAAGAAAAGTCTCGATATTTTAACCAAATTAACGAAAAAGATTCTATCTAAATCAGGGCCGTTCCAAATATATTTTGGGCCCAGGACGTGAGAAAAAAATGAACCCTTAAAATATACAAATATAATCAAGTTTTTTTATAACAAATCAATAATTAAAAGAAAACTATGTGTCCTATCTTCTAAATATAATAAATTCCATAAAAATTTTGGATCCCTTTAAAAGATGGGCTCTGATCGGTCGCTCCTATCGTCCACCCTCTGAGATGGGTCTGATGGGTCTGGTCTAAATCTACCAAACTGAAAAAAAAAATTAATTAATAATCTATCATTTTTTATTAAAAAAAATTTTAAATTAAACTGTAATTTGTTCTTTTATATAAAAATTACAATAACTTTTCAAGCATTTCATATATAAAAAATAATAAAAATAATAATAAGTAACTTTTTTTATTACACGACTTATATATTAACATAAATACATTTATATTTAAATTTATCTCCACTTAGATTTTTCTTTCCTCGCTGGTCTCGGATGTAATTTGTCTTCAACATTGTTTACTGTACTCAATAGACTTTGTGAAAGGAAACGAAAAATAGACTGACCATTATATTTGAGCATGCGACAGAAACTGCTAGTAGCTTGCAACATTTATGGTTTCTAGAATAAAGATACCTAAAATAAATTGCAATTATATTTATTTATTTTTTCTTTTGATAAATAAAAATAATTTTGTATTATGAGACATGTATTTTGTCATAATTTTAAAATATTTATTTTTCATTTCATTTATTCAGTTTCCATAAATTAAACATACCATAATAATTATATTAATTTCAAATTTTAAACTTTAATTTCAATTTTAAATAAATTTATAGTTTAAACATTTGTATTTAATATTTTGTTATAGTTAACCCGTATAATAAACACTATAGATTAAAGTGCAAATCATATGTAAAAGTAAGGCTTTTCTATCCGTTCATACGTAATTTTAACGGAAAGTCTGGTTTCTTATTTGATTGTAAATTAAATAAGTCATACATACCTTTAAACATTTATTTAAGAATATTTTAAAATAATAATAAAAAAAAATCTTTTCCATTTATAATTTACCATGAATAATGGTTAAAGAAAACTTTTAATATATCCAACTTTATTCTCTTCTCTTTCTTTTGCCTGCATCCACTTATGAAGAATCTCCCATCATCGATAATGACTTAATATTCTAAAGTCATCATCGATCAACCGTTTCATAGATATAATTACATAGTAAACAATATGTGTTTTCAGTTCACTTTTATCATAAAAAAAATGTTTAGAATAACATTTAAACGATTATGTTTGTAAGTTTATAATAATATGTAAAATCTGGTGAGTAATAAATCAATTTCTATTTTTAATAGTTTATATATTATTTGATTATAAATTTATAGCATAACCTTTACATATTGATCCTAAGATCTAGTTAAATAATAATAATAATACAATAAAAACAATTTTACAATCCAGAAAAGGTTATGGTTATAATTTGTTACACATTTGCATTCGATGTCAATATAGACATTTAAAAATATTGATATTGAAATTACATTTCCCAAGAATAACTTATCCCATGATACAGTAAAAGAACATCATGACAACAAGTTCATTAAAAGTAAGTTTTCCCATGATAATAAGGTTATACCAATTTAGTTTGTGATATGGAACCTTAACGCCTTATCATTACAAAATCAATAGAATTTTTAGTTCGACTATGTATATAATACGATTATCTTAATCGTATGAATATGTAATTTATGTGTGTTCTTCATTTGTCATCATATCTTGTATTGTGTATGTTGACCGAACACCTAACCACTCTTCTCGGAGTTATGGACGAATATGAGAATATGAACATTGGCAGGTTTGATGACCATTACTTTACCTTTTTGGAAGATGCAAATGGAAAGATTATATGTACCAAAAAACTAGATAAACTTCTTTCATAACATAAACATGAGAAGAAGAAATATGATGATTTGGATTTATTGGATTGACAAGCCCTTGACATAATAGGTTTATCATTGAGTCTCAAAGTCTGTAAACATCATTACGAAAACAATAGAATCTCTTTAGTTTGGAGGTAGACATAACACCATTACCATGTGTGAACCATACAACTTCTGGGTTCTTTGCATGTTGTTGGTGTTTGAATACACACAATAATTTAATAGTAAAAATTTGTAGATATCAAGACAACTAAAACTAGACAATTGGGTAACCCGACCCAATTACATTTATGTCAATTCGGGGCATACTATATTTTAATCCAATTTACTTGTGTAGGGTATGTGTTGGCATGTTAGTCAAAAAACAGACATGCAAATTTCATTAAATTCTTACACCAAAATCAAATTCAACAAAATGGTGAAGTTATGGGTTTTCCGAACATGTTTCCGAAAACCTGGTCGCGTTACAAGCCTCTTAGATAGATTCAACTTTTTAGGTGGAAAATGATTTTGGACCGATCTGGTTTTTGTGAAAACCGGTTTGTCTTCATTAGGAACAAACTCAAATCGCTTTTCAAATCCATCTAGTTTGGATTAGAATTTCTGTTTGAACAATGAACACCTCTAGTTCACGGGGTATGTTGAAAAAGCCAATTACCTTTTTAGCGGTTTTTATTTTTTAGCACATTTTGACCCTCTTGCCTTTTCTGGACATTTATAAAAACGGTGAGTGAATTGGTTCAGCATAATTTTGAGTTCATAATTATTTATATTAACGTTTTATATTTAAATAAGTAAATATCTATATGATATGAATCATTTTCTTTTAACAATTTTATAAACTAATGACTAATGGTAGTATTACTTTTCAAAACGGTTATAATAATTTATAAAGATTCGGTTATAAGCTAAATTACACCGAATTGGAAGCCATAAGTGGCCCTATTTAAGTTGGATGGTCTTCTTTTCTTTATGATCTAATCTTCATACATACTTATAAAGCTAGTGTTTTTTCTTGAATCCCATGCATTTGAAACCTCCATATACTTTTTCCTTTCACCACACTCATTTGAAACTCCCATGACTTTTCAATTTCTTTATAATAATAATTATAATTTGGTTAATTAGGTTAAATAATTATCAAGCCTAAAGTTTAATCATATATAAACTAAATTTCAATATTAAAATAATATATTTACTTCTACTAATAAAGTTATGTTTTTTTAACTTATAACATATTATACTTAATTTATTAGTTTTAATATATTGTTGGATGTAAACCATTATCATTTTAAAGATACAGTTTTGGAATAATTTGTATAAAATACTTAAATTATTAATTTAAATATAACATTACAGGGTTAACTTAAATATAAATTTTAGTTTAACTTATACAACGCAAAGAATATTTTGTAAATAGTTAAAAGTGGTAAATTGTAGTGTCTTTCTAATAATGATTCTAAGTTGGTTAATAAGATCAAATAAATATCAAACCTAAAGTGTAATCATAATAAACTAAATTTCAATTTTTAAAATAATATCTTTACTTCTACTTATAAAGTTACGTCTTTAAATTTTAACATATTATAATTAATTTATTAGATTTAATATGTTGTTATATGTAAACCGTTATCAGTTTAAAGCTAAAACTTTTGAATAATTTGGACAAAATACTTAAATTGTGAACTTAAATATAACATTATAATATCAACTTAAATATAACATTACAATATCAACTTAAATATAAATTCTAGTTCCACTTAAAAAACTAAATAATATTTTGTAAATAGTTAAAAGTGATAAATTGTAGTGATAAATTCAAAAACTAAATTGTAATATCAATTTAACTAAAATATTTCCTAAATATATTTTTATAATCGTTAAAAGTTTTCAAATAAGTAGCTTAAAATAACTTACAATAACGGTAGTTAAAAATAACTCTATATAAATGATTATACTGTTACCTTTAAAATAAAAAATAATGTTTGATGTTTTAAATAACTATATTGATAGAAATTAAAAATTCAATCAAATAAATTTTAAAAAAATAGTTAACAATTACAACAACTATAAATATCATTAAACCATATATTATATTTAATTTTATTCATTTGTAACTTGCGGGTAGAAGTCCTTCAAACGATTAAGATTATGAAGTTGTAATACATGTTTATATTATTATATAATTCAAAATAATAAATATATTATATCAATTTAGTATAAAAATTATTATATCAAATTTAACAACAACGTTATTGTTATATTTAAAAAAAGATATATTTGTTAAAACTTTAACTATATAAGTGTTTCTACGTATTACAATGTCAACTTAAATATAAATTTCACTTCCACTTAAAAAAGAAAAAAATATTTTGTAAATAGATAAAAGTGATAAGTTATAGTGATAAATGCAAAAACTAAATTATAATCTCAATTTAACTAAAATATTTCCTAAATGTTTTTTATAATCGTTAAAAGTTTCCAAAAAAGTAGCTTAAAAAAACTTACAATAACAATAGTTAAAAATAATTGTATAAAAATAATTATATTGTTACATTTAAAATCAAAAAACAATGTTTGATATTTTAAATAGTTATAATGATATAAATTAAAACATTAAGAAAATAAATTTTAAAAAATTAATGTGAGAATTTCATATATGCCCTTCTTAAACATCAAAATATTATATTTATCCAACTTAATTTCTAAATATCATATTTACCCTTCATAAAATTTCAAAATATCATATATGTCCCTTTTAACCATCAAAATATCATGTATGCCCTTCTTAAATATCAAAATATCGTATATGCACTTTTTAAACATCAAATATCAATGGTAATATCTAAAATATCCTTCATCTACAACAAAAAAAACTAAACAATCAAAATATAGATTCCATAGAGAGGATTGAAGATAAATATTTTTGTTTGTCAAGATGACGACATTCTACAATTTAGAAGTTCACATTCCATTATCATAGACGTAAGGATAATATCGTTAAATTTTTTAATTATTATAGTAATTTTAAGTTTTAAAAAATGAAATATTAAAAACATTATAAAAAAGGATTTGGGCAAATATGATATTTTAAAGGTTTATGAAGAGTAAATATGATATTAAGAAATTAAGTTGGGCAAATATGATATTTTGAGGTTTAAAAGGGGCATATATGAAATTCTTCCAAAATTAATTAACAATAACAACAACTATAAATAACATTAAACTTTATATTATGTTTAATTTTATCCATGTGTAACTCGCAGGTAGAAGTTATTCAAACGATTGAGATTAAGAAGTTATAATAAATGTATATATTATCATATAATTCAAAATAATTAATATATTATATCAGTTTAGTATAAAAGTTATTATATCAAATTTAACAACAATGTTACTGTTATATTTAAAAAAAAAAAAAAAAACATATATTTGTAAAGATTTCAACTATATAGATGTTTTTGCGCAACGCGCAAGCATTCGCCTAGTTTATCCGGTACCTTTGTAAACAGTTTTAAACCAAGCCTGTGATCTTAATTCTTACAGATCGTGTTTAAAAACCCAATTAATATATACTATACATAAAGTTTCTGAAAGAAAAGTGGCAAACAAAGCGTCAATTAGGGGCTTTGGAGTACTATTGGAGGAAAATAAAGGTTAGCCATGTTTAATTTGGGGAATCTCAGTTCTTTGTCTTGGTAACCGCTAATGGTATTTGGCTATTTGCACCAAGTATAAACGCAATTATGATTGCATTTAATACAAATGCATTGGATTTAACAGGTGTGACCTTAATTTGATTTCCTGCTTTAACGATCGACGAGCTGCTCCCATTTAACGCGAAAATGGTTTCAACACAACACTTTGCGACTATGGAGAACCTTCCAAGCGACGTTTTATCAGACATATTCATCAGATTATTGGCCAAACAGCTTGCTCAAATGAGGTCTGTATGTAAATCTTGGAATGCTCTGTTATCTCAATCCTCTTTTATAAAATCCCACCTCCATCGTTCTGTCCATAACAATCATGAATTTCTCTTGTTCTATGAGAAGTGTGAAGCATTACACTTAGACTCTGAACCATTTACAGCACACCCATCTACATCTCCCCATGTGGAACTCACTGATTTTATCAAACTCCCAGCTACTCTCCAATCTAGAGGCGCCAATGTCATTGGGTCCGTTAATGGCTTAATCTGTTTGTATTACGGATTATGTAATCGTTTCGTTGTTCACATTTGGAACCCTTCCATATCTGTTGTGTCAACTCTCCCCCGATATTCTATGCCTTCCATTTGTGATGATCCGATTCGTATCCTTTTCCGGTTTGGTTTTGATCCCAAAACTGACGACTACAAAGTTGTTAAGCTTGCTAACTTTCTTCAACCACCCAGCTTCATGGACCCGATAGTGGTAGCCATACTAGGTACTAATTTTTTTCTAGTTAAAGAGTGGCTGCAAGTTGAAGTTTATAGCATGAGAAAGGGTTCATGGAAGGTAATCACAGAAAGGTTTCCATCTCAAGTCACTGGGATTACAAGAACAAATGAAGTTTGTGTAGATGGACATGATGGGCATATTCATTGGTTTTGTTCTGTTGATGAGGGCAAAGAACAAGCTCTAGTGGCATTTGATTTGGGTTTTGAGACATTCTGTGAGATTCCTGTTTCAGCTTGTATAAACGCTTTAATGCTTTAGGAGTTTTGGGTGGAAAGCTGTGTGTGATGTCATGTGTTGAAGATGGTGAATGTGAGGTGTGGGTGATGGATGACTATGGGGTGGCTGAATCATGGGTCAAACATCATGTTTTTTCTCAGTTTAGTGGTGATATTGATCCATATGGATTCACATTACACAACGAGTTTCTTTTTAATGCTTACAAAAGTCATCTAGCTTTGTATGATCCAAATGCAACATCGGTTAAAACCTTCAAGATTCCCTGGTTTAAGGTTTTAGGTGTAGCTAAAATTGTTAATTATGTGGACAGCCTTGTTTGGGTAGCACCTGGTGAATGTGAGACCAGAGCATCTCTTGATTGCATATCTGAAAAGAAGCATCAGTAGAATTTGTTTCTTTTCTTTTATTAGAACTACTTTGCATGGTCATGTTGTGTTTCTTAATTAGGTTTATGTCAAGAATTGTTTTTTTACTCTTTAGTGCATTACATCTTGATTCTCTTTTGTTGGCATGATGAGTTTGTTATGGTGGTTCAATTTGATTTTCAGAAGTTTTGTATTCATGGAAAAGATTTCTTTACATTAACTTTTTTGACATGGTTCATTTGCAACATAAGTTGCTTGTATTTATTGTTAGATTGTGCTTTGTCATAAGGAGACAAGTGTATGGTTGTCGATTATGGTTAACACTATTTTAGATTACAAAACCAGTATATTATAATTTTTTTTGAAAAAGCTTAATGATTGTAAGATCTAAGGTGAATTTGGTTTAGTTTTGTGACTTAAGGGTTTGTTAGAATTATCTTTCTATTTGTTTCTTCTTAGAGTGATATGTATTTCTATATGATAGCCGCTATCAATGAACACAAAGGCAAAAGTAGTACATATATGAAACCAAAGTGGAAGATTATTTGGATAATGAAAATTATAAAGGATTGATTTTGGTGCAGGAGTGGGTATAAATCTAATGGGGTCAATGCAGGTTAAAGCATTAGGTCACTTATAAACATGAACACTTTAATAGATAATAAAAAATCTTCATCATTTTTAAATGCTATCTTTTATGCTTGGTCATGTAGTTGTTGGTCTTTATGTTATGTTATATTATCAACCCTTATTCCCTTAGCTTTGTCTTTTACAACTAAATTGATAAAAATAGTGAAAAAATAGTATAAACACAAAATCCTCTCCAACTATTACATTATATTAGACATTATATCATAGTAAACGGTAAAAATGGTCCTATGATTTGCAATATTCCATAGATGGAGTTTAAAAAACATACAACTTGCAAATGTTCTTTTTTTTTTTTTTAACAAAGTTTCTTTGTGGTTTTGACCTTTATCAATATTGAAATGACTTCTATATGTTTTTAATTTTTTTTTATATATTTTTAAATATTTATTTTATCACTCTTGAAATGACTATTATGTTAATTAATATGATTTAATTGCATAGCTTAAAATTTATACTAAGCAATTAAATCCTATTAATTCGCATAATATTCTTTTCAAGAGTGCTATAAAATGTAATTTTAATTAACTTTCTGTATAGGTAACCAAACTGTATTTTTGGAGGGTAATGGAATCTTCTATTACATTCCCTTTGTCATTCCATCATACCAAAAAGACACTAAAATTATTAATGGACAACATGAAGTTGGCGCTTAGTTGTTGATCTTCATTTCTTGTTGTATCTGTCAGCCAGAGAAGTTCATAAACAAACAAAATTATAAGGGTCGTGTGCAGGTCCGAAAAAATAAACACCATAAACAGCAGTGAAAAAAATCAACCCAAGACTGCTCCAATTCCTAAACATCTTCCTGAAATATCTAATTCCTCTCTCACTGCCATCTCCACTATGTGAAGATTATAAGGACTTATACAAACACAAGTTCTTTGAGGAATAAACTCGAACAGTTGGTATCCACAATACAAAATGTTAGGATAAACATGTTTCTAGATACCAAATACAAAGTGTAACTGATTTAATGCTCATGAAAGAGCATTAGGATTTAGGGTAAACGAAAGAAAAAATGGCAGAAACCAAACCTGGCGTTGGGAGGCAGTAACGATGCTGACAGAGGGAGGCGACAAGGGCGTTGGCGGTGACACACAGGAAGATGAAGTCACATAAGAAGAGATTGGAGAACAAAGTCGTTGACCGGACATTGACCGGCTGGTGGTGAAGGGTTGCAGATCGACTGCTGGACCAAACCGCCTTCAATGGTGAGTTGTGGTGTGGCGGTGAGGGCCGGCTAGGTCAACGAGAGAGAGAGGGGGAGAGAACGAGATGAGAGATATCAGAGAGAGTGCCTGTGTACCTTACTCCAGTGTGAGTGATCAACGTGACTGGGAGACGGAGAGAAGGAGTGACTAGTGAGAGATCGGATTGCAAATCGGGAAGCGAAGAATTTAGGGGGAACTGAAAATGGTTGAATTTTTTAGAATGCGACTTTTAGGATTTAAATTTGTCAAATTTTTTAGACGTTTCCTAGGAAGGTCCTCGGAAATACCGAGAAAATACCAAGGAAATGGAAACATTTGTTTGTGAATATCTTTTAAAACATTTATATAACTTTATCATTAACTTCAATTAAAATTACTATCACAAACATTATTTAGAATACTATCAAGGAAATTAAACACTTTTTTTTCGTTTATTTAAATAACACCATCATTAGGATTATTTTTAGTGTATATATATATATATATATATATATATATATATATATATATATATATATATATATATATATATATATATATATATATATATATATAAAAGGAAAAGTGAATATGTGGCTATCATGTATGTAATATTAGGTATAGAACCATTAAAATTGTCTTCATTTTGATTAAAAAACACAATTTTTTTTCTTTGTTAACTTCTTCATATTGCTTTCATAATTTTTTTTCAACATCTATGTATTTCGAATGTGTTGTTTTTACTAGACTTCTGGTAGGTTTTATAACTTTCTTTGACACCTACCATATATATACTTGCATGGTTCTTTTTAATGTGTTATGGAAAGAAGTTTATTGGTTTTTAATGAACAATTTTAATCTTTCACTAGAACTCTCTATATTAAATTTGAATATGAAGATGTATAGGTAGTTGATAATGTATTTTTATACATGGTTTGTGGTGCAAAATAAAATATTTAAAACTCCATAAAAATATATACAAAGCCTATCATCTACTCCAATAGTGAATATAAGAAAAATGGTAGAGAGATTTGATTACATTTTGATAAAACTATGTAGTTTTTTATTGTTCTATACCTAATGTTAGGTATATAACAGCCACATATTCCCTAAGCCCATATATATATATATATATATATATATATATATATATATATATATATATATATATATATATATAATAATTTTATATCCAAATATGTGTTGAAAAATTTAGATTACGATATAAATAGTTGGAAAAACAATAAATAATATTCAGTTTCCTCAGAAATACGTAGGAAGTAATTTCTTCGGAAATGGGTAGGAACATCCTTCATTATCTTATGTGTATAAAGTTGTCATTATCATCTTTATTGAATGCAGAGTTGTCAGTATCATCTTTATTGAATGCAGAGTTGTCATTATCATCTTTATTGAATGCAGAGTTGTCAGTATAATCTTATCATCGAGAAAATCCTTCATTATCTTATGTGTATAAGATTTTGTGACGTGTTGTCTTTTTATAGGATCATTGGATTTTATCTAGATAAACTATTTTAACATTATCTTTTTTTTTAAATTGGAAAAAACAAACAAAAATAAATATTCTTCCTCTATTAATAGAGTATAACACTTACATATTTTCATACCCACCTCTAATTCTTCATTTCACTCTTCATTTCTAATCTCTTTGAAAAATGTCTCATAATGCAAACTCATCATATGGTTTCGATTCATCGCATGTGAATGAATATGATGAATGGGAAGCACGAGTTGTTCAAAAAAATCAACAACTTGATGTTATCACGAGTGAGTTACTCATAGGCATGCCAAACACAAGTGTAAGAGATCATCCTAGAGCAAGAAGGAGGTATTGTGATCGGGAACGTGAGCATGGTGAGGCACGTTTGATGAAAGACTACTTTGTTGACAACCCAACGTATGGTGAAGCAAAATTTCGTGGTAGATTTCGAATGCGAAAACCACTATTTCTCAGCGTAGTGGAAGCTGTTACAGCCAATGACCGATATTTTCAACAAAGACGCGATGCCACATGCAGACAAGGTTTTTCACCAATACAGAAATGTACTGCAACTATGAGGGTATTGGCATATGGGGCATCAGCAGATGCACTTGATGAATATTTGAGAACGAGTGAGACTGTAACAAGGGATGCTCGTGTAAATTTTGTGGAAGGTGTCATTTCATGCTTTCGTGAAGAGTACCTTAGAAGTCCCAATAGAGATGATTTTGCACGACTGCTCGATGTTGGAGAAGAACGTGGATTTCCAGGTATGGTAGGCAGTCTTGATTGAATGCACTGGGAATGGAAAAACCTCCCCACCACTTGGGTTGGACAACATGCAGGTAGAAGCGGTAAGAAAACAATAATTTTGGAAGTTGTTGCATCGTATGAATTATGGATATGGCATGCATTATTCGGAAGACCGGGTTCGTGCAATAACATTAACGTCCTCCAAAGATCTCCTTTTTTTGATGATGTCTTGGTAGGTTGAGCACCAAAGGTGAGTTACACTATGAATGATCAAGAAAATAATATGGCTTATTATCTCACTGATGACATATATCCTTCATGGGCTGCCTTTGTCAAGTCAATAAGTTCTCCACAACTTCGAAAACACAAGTTGTTCGCTGAACATCAAGAGGCGGCTAGAAAAGATGTTAAACGAGCATTTGGATTTTTACAAGCTTGTTTTGCTTTTCTTCATCCCCCTTGACTTGTGTGGGACAAAGATATGATGGGAAAAATTATGTTTGCATGTATCATTATTCATAATATGATAGTTGGGGATGAACGACACACATACCTTCATTATTATGATCCATCAGAATTTATAACTACAGAAGACGAAGAATCCTTCGAATACTCTACTCAACGAATTGGAGATCTATCCCGTTATATGACCAACAGGGCACAAGTTCGCAATAGAGAAGCTCATAACGCTCTAAAAAACAATTTGATTGAGCATATATGGAAAAAATTCAGCAATGAAGAATAATTTAGTAGTTTGCATCTTCTGTATTTGTAACTTATTTGATCTATTTTATTAAGTATGTTTCATGAATGTAAATATATATATATATATATATATATATATATATATATATATATATATATATATATATATATATATATTATTTATTTAATTTTACGTTTAAAATAAATAATTTATTTGTTTC